GGGGGGGAGGGGGGGGAGGGAGAATGATGAGGATAATAATAATGATGGGACACAAACTAACATTGCAAGCTCCTGGGTGACATCTCCTGTGTCATGCGAACCGAGGAGACACATGGGTCATCTGCCTCGGTTTGACCTGACAGCACTAGGCCGAGGCAGACCAGAACGCCGACCGAGGCACATCGCCATTCTGCAAGAGCCCGGTCCTTCACGCAACCCCAACGCTGGAGTCAGACGCCTTCCCAGGTACGGTCCTGCTCCCTGCAAGCGGGCACATAAAAAACGGTGACCTTCCCTATAAAAACCCTCGCGTTCGGAACAAGAAAGGGGAAAGAAAAATCCTCTTAAGATTATCGACTGACTTGACCGTCGGAGGGGCCGGGTCGAGATCTCTCGACCCGACCTGTATGCAGGGATGAAGATAGAGCGCCACTCCACTGCGTGCCCAGGCGAGGAGTTCCCTCTTGGAGGAAACGACTACCCCGTCAAGATCGGACCATCGCACTCGGCTACCTCAGCACTCTCAAGGGCTAGTCCAGAAAGATCCCTGCTCATTCGGACCCGAACCCAACCGTGTTGGCCCCGAGGCCATGGTTTAAAGTTGTTGACACCAACATTTTAGCGTTAGAAGGAGGGCCGAATGTCGAGGGATCGCTAGATCGACCCAGACGAACCCATAGTTGAGGGATCGCCCCTGATCAGGGTTTCGGAGGAGTGCACCTTGCATGAAGAAACTCAAGCTGAGCACCCCGCCGTGACATCAGAGCGCTATTGGCAGTTATTCAACAACCCAGGCCTGTCGCCGCCGGGAGGTGCCCGGACCGACCCGAAATCTTGAGCCACTAGGGTCCACTGATAGCTTATCCCTAATGGAGGGTCGGCCAGACCGGACCATCGCACTCGACTACCTTAGCACTCTCAAGGGCTAGTCCAGGAAAATCCCCACTCATTCGGACCCGAACCCAATCGTGTTAGCCCCGAGACCACATCTTAAAGTTGTTGACACCAACAAAATGACCAACTTGATTGTTCACGTCTAAAAGATAGATTTGTTAACGGTATTTTAGGTGATGTTTATAGGGAAACCCATCAAAGTATCGGCACGTTCTTTATTTTGATTGATATTTTTATTTGCGAAAAAAAATGATAAGCAAATTTAATTGATCATTAAGGACTTTGTTAATGCTCTAAAAATATCATAGCATGTGTCTTTTATTGCTTAACTGGTTGTGTATGATAAAGAGGAGAAAAAAAAAACACTGATAATTTTCAAGATTCTTCAAATTTTGTGAGATGGAGTAGATGAAGAGCTTTAGATTTGTGTTTCAATTAATTCAAAAGAGGGTTTGTTTTATTTTGTGTTATGATTATCTTTTGGTGGATGTAAGAAAATCTTGTGTGTGTTATTTTAAGATTATAGTTTTATTTGATGTGAATTTTCTTGATTAATTTTTTTTTTGGGTGACAAAATCAGTAACAGAACTTTTTATTTCTACAACATTTAATCTAAAAAAATTGCTTCCATTATTCTATCAATAATCTCCAACCACCCACTAAAGATTTCTCTTATGGGGTCTTCAAATCTTTGTTTATTAGCATAATATACTCGCCACTTGCCCAAGATTTCTCTTAAGATTTATAATTTTTAAGCCAAGTCAACTTATAGCTCAAAATTGAACTCATTGGCTTAATGGTTTCAATTCTATATAACAATTAGCATAGCCTCATCATAGATGCAATAAAAAAGAGAGAATAAATACAATCCAATATATTCCCGAGTCTTGTGAGACTAATCATTGGAGTTATCGTTGCATTCTTACTGAATTTGATGCACAATTTCATAAATATTCAGCTGGATGTGCATAATGCCAATTCTTTTCCCTCCTAATTTTGATGATTTGGCCATTATTTCTTTAGCATATGCTCATATACACTTCTAATGTGTTTCTAAAGCATCTACAGCCTTTAATTAATAATCTAATGTACTCCTCCTAACACTTGACTTCTTATATCTTATTTTATTTGCCATGGACGAAATGAAGAAGAAACATTTAAGATAAATATAAATATGTGCTAAGAATATTAGTGGTTAGAAGATGTTACTGTAAAAGATAATTCTTTGTGGCCAATGAATTCTACACTAGAATAGTCGTCTTCTTAAAGTAATCAATCATGACATATGCTCTATTAAATTGAAACAATCTATGGCGTGTAATTCAAATGCAATTATTGCCTATTCTTTTATCCATACAACACATTATCTTCCTAAATGAAAAAGGAAAGAAACCAATAAATAAGGCCTTCCATGTTCTAACCATTTTGGAGGGCGACGATGTTTAAGTAGTGTGCGTAGGTTTCCTGCTTCAATGCGTTGTGACTTCAATCGAAGAGTTCGCGGATGGATCTTCTTGACATCCTCCACAGCCACGACAGCAGAAGACAAGCACTGATCACCTTCTCCATCGCCACCCTCTTCACCACCATCCTCTGCTTCGTATGTCTCAGGAAGAAAAGGTCGAACCTCCCGCCGGGTCCTCGAGGCCTTCCTGTCCTCGGCAGCCTCCCCTTCCTCGACCCCGACCTTCACCGCTGGTTCGCCGACCTCGGACGCGTCCATGGCCCCGTCATGCGCGTCCGGCTCGGTGCCAAACCTTGCGTCGTCCTTAGCTCCGCTTCGGTCGCCCGTGAAGTGTTCCGCAACCACGACGTGACCTTCGCCAACCACGACGTCCCCGCTGCCGCACGCACCGCGTCCTACGGCGGCAGCGACCTCGCGTGGGCCGCCTACGGGCCACACTGGCGGGCGCTGCGCAAGGTGTGCGTGCGCGACCTGCTGAGCGCCCGCCGCGTCGACGCGGTCGGCCCGCTGCGGCGCCGCGAGGTGCGGAGGATGGTGGCGGAGGTGCACTCCAGGGCCGGCGCGGCGGTGGAGGTGCGGGAGGTGATGTTCGTGGCGTCGCTCAACCTTCTGATGAGCATGGTGTGGGGAGTCAGCCTGGAAGGGGAGGAGAGGGAGAGGGTGGGCCGGGAGTTCCGGCGGGTGTCGGACGCGTTCATGGAGCTCATGTCGAGGCCGAACGTGTCGGACTTCTTCCCCGCCCTGGAACGGTTCGACTTGCAAGGGGTGGAGAGGAGGATGAGAGGGCTCGTGAAGTGGCTCGACAGGGTGTTCGACCCTATCATCGATAGCAAGTTGAGAGAGATGAAGGAGAGCGGAGGAGGAGAAGGGTGCAAAGATTTCTTACAGGTGCTGTTGGAGCTGCTCGAGAAAGAAGACACCGAGGTGCCGCTTACTCTAGTGAACATCAAAGCCTTGATCATGGTCAGCTTCACTTCTCTCTAAGATCGATCTTTGTCTTCTTACAACTTTAGATGGACCGATATAACCATGACCAACTCCTCCTCGTTGCTGGTAGGACTTGCTCGGAGGTGGCACAGACACGACCTCAGCCACAGTCGAGTGGGCCATGGCCGAGTTGCTGCACAACCCTGCGCTAATGGCGAAGGCTCAACACGAGCTGGATGAAGTAGTAGGGAAGGAAGGACGGGTAGAAGAATCACACATAACCCATCTAAGTTACCTGCACGCGGTGGTCAAAGAGGCGCTGCGCCTCCACCCTCCTCTCCCTCTCCTGGTGCCTCACTCCCCCAGCCAAACCACCACAGTGGGTGGATTCACCATCCCCAGAGGCACTGCAGTGTTCGTCAACGTCTGGGCCATCCAAAGAGACCCCTCCAACTGGACCAACCCACTGGAGTTCATCCCTGAGAGGTTCTTGGGAGGAGATGGAGAAGCAGATTATGGTGGCAACAACTTCGGCTACATCCCTTTCGGATCAGGGAGGAGGATTTGTGTTGGCATCTCCCTTGCAGAGAAGATGCTGATGAACACACTGGCTTCACTCCTGCACTCATTTGACTGGCATTTGCCTCAGGAAGCCAAGATCGGTCTCGAGGAGAAGTTTGGGCTGGTGCTGAGGAAATCTGAGCCACTTGTGGCCATACCCAAACCAAGATTATCCAGCCAACATCTCTATACTTGATGTATTGTTCTTAGCAACAGTGTGTCGAAGCTTTGTATCACTTGTGTTGATCTACAAGTTAAAGAAAGCTGACTTAGTAAATGACCAGAAATGAATGAGATCGAGGTTATACAGTCATTCATGCCAGTGTTCCGTAAAGTTGTGAGGCTAATAATGGGTCACTGAATCTGAAGCCTTCCTGAAAAGTGAAATCAAATATCAAAAAGATTAAACTCTGGAAAACTTGCCATCTCACTCCTTTTGATCTCAATTGTTCATCTATTCTGAATAAAGAATAAAATAAATATCAATTATTGAGATGGATGGCAAAAAATGAAAAAAAAAATTTTTAAATTGATATGAATAATTCTGAGATGGCCTCCAAATCTTTCTTATGATTTGTGTTTCGACTTTAGCCTGTCTGCAGCTAATACCGTCACAGCCTCACAGAAGTTGGCTACCACAAAATTGATGACATGTTGAAACTAAGTTTATTATCACAGATGGATTCGCATTGTTATTATTATATTCACATCATGACATAGCAATAGAGCCGACGATAAGATCGATGTGACACGCAAATTTACAGCATTGGGAATATCTTTCTTCGCCGCCCCGCGTGACGTTAGAAGTTGGCTTCTAGCGACGATGTCAGTCGTGCTGCATGCAAATGGCCAATGTTTGGGATGGTCAAAGTTTCCGTGGATCACAAAGAGTATTGGCACCAATACTTCGACCTTTCAAATGGTCAACGCATGCAATATGTGATAGTATCTTATTAAAATTGTCCCTTGTGATTATTTTTGGATATGTTTTGTTTTGATTATTCATTTTCGAGGACAGCTGTTAAAGTTCTTCGATATGACTTTTTTATTCAGACAATTTAATATGCCTAAAAGGTTTTTTTGGTGAAGTCTCATTATCTCAGTTGATAATGACACAGATACACATCATTGTGTTCTGCGCAGGGCAAGAGGAGATTTGAAATCCATCGCTAACAAATAGTTTGTGGTTTTGTTCATTAAGTTCTTGTCATTATGCGGCTAACAAGTGGTTGATGTTCTTTGTTAGCATATTAAATTTAAACGTTAGGTGGAAATAGCTGTTCGATTAGTATTATTAAGTTTTAAAAGAACTCCAGGCTACGACATGATGTTTATAGAAGATGACTTTGGAGACATTGATATCTAGAGAGAGATTGAGAGTGATGGGAAACTCCATACTAAAATAAATCTTATATTTTATTCTTTTGATATCTCTTTTTTAATAATTCCTCGAAGTTCCATTAAAAAAATTATCCAACTTCTATCGTCTTTCATTTTATTTTTTAAAAATTACTTACCTATAAAACTTTATTTTTTTTTACTTCCCTTTTTGTTAGATTTTATGATCCTTTATAATTAGATAAGATATATATAATATAATTAATTAGATTCTAATGATATATATTGGTTAATAGAAAAGAAGTCCACTTAAAATATGATTCCTTAGGAGATAATATTAATAAAAGGGACTAAAAAAAGAAGAACATAGGTTACGTATCTTAGTTGAGAGATTACAGTCTCTCTCTCAACTCTTCTCCCTGACCATCAATCTAGGTGGCCTTGTGAAAGGTAGAAAGAGGGGAGAATGATATAGTTCATTTGCAGCTTGACAACGATCTTGGATCTAAAGATGATGCCCTTGCAGATCAAAACAAAGAGTTTTTTTTCAAATGACATCAAAAAGTATGTATCATAAAACCAGATCTAATTTTATTTAATTTCAATCCTAGCATAAAGGATTATTTTTGTATTTAAAATGGTATATTATAGATTTTTATGCTTACAATTGGTGGTATCAAAGCTTAGGTTCTTAAGATCAAATACATTAGATCTATTATTTTTGTTTATGATGCAAGAATGTGTTAGGATCGGAGCGGCACTAAGAGGGGATTAGTGCAGCGGATTAAAACTTATAAGTTTGAAACTGAATTCGTAAATACAAGGAGATTTCGTTTCGATAGTAACTTGAGTAGATGAAAACCGAAAGCTTGCTGTAATGTAAATAACGGTTTCAGAAAAGTAAATACTCACACATTCAAGAAACACATCAATTTAAAATGGTTCGGTCAAAATGACCTACATCCACTTGCGAAGCCTTCTTCAATGAGGCTCCCAACTTCCACTAGCAAATCACTTTGAAGGGGAAGGACAAATACTCCTCTTACAACATTTTTACAAGTGGTTTACACTCTTACAAATTTTTCAAAGAGAAAGAGAAAGGTGGACACTTAAGCTATTGAAAACAAGACTTTTGTTAAAGCTTTTCTCAATTTCTATTCGAAAAAAACCTGTTAAAGCGGAATATTCTTTTCCCTCTTTATGTATCAAAATGGGTTCCTTATCAAAATACCAACTTGATATCTAAATTGAAAATATCAACCAGCACAACATAAACAATAGAGCAAAAAATTAATCACACAGTGAGACTAAATCTTTTTAACGTGAAAAATCCAATGTGGGAAAAACCACGGGACCGTAGTCCACCTCAAACTTCTACTATCAATAGTAATGATAACATATTTACAATAGGTCTTCTCTAGAATAACTAGAGGATCACAATAACATCAAGATCATAGATCTTAGCTCAAGAATAGCATATCTTCATCACATACGATGGATCTTCTCATAAGAGAATTCTAGGTCTCACAAAGTGGATATAGCAGGAAAGTATCTTAGAGAGGGTAAACTATAGATCAACACCGTTAGAATTATAGAGTTTGTTGCAAGGATTCTCCACATAAAATTTGAGCCGAAACTGACAATGTTTAGCCATCGATCGTCAAGTAAAAAACTTAGAAACCTAATCTTTCTCTCTCTATTTCTCTCTCCTCTTTTCTCTGCATGCCGCACCAAACCCTTTCTCTTGTTTGCTGCCCTTAATTAGTGATTTGGGCTCAATAGGCCTAATTGTCCAAGCCCACATATGGGCTGGGCCCAACAATTCTCCCCCTCCAGCTCATATGGTGGGCTGTACCAAGCCCGCTCTTCACCTACATGCTTCAAGCTTCTCCTTAGGCAAATACTTTGTCAACATATCAGATCCATTCTCATTAGTATGCACTTTTTCCAACTGTAATTCTTTCATCTTAAGCACATCACGAATCCAGTGATATCTCACATCAATATGCTTGGATCTAGAATGGTATGTTGAATTCTTGGAGTGGTGAATGACATTCTGACTGTCACAGTAAACAGTATATCCTTCCTGTTTCAAGCCCAATTCTCGTAGAAACTTTTTTATCCATAAAGCTTCCTTGCAGGCTTTAGTAATTGCTATGTATTCTACTTCTATGGTTGATAGAGCAACACACTTCTATAACTTAGACTGCCAAGAGACTGCTCCTCTTGCAAATGTCATCAAGAATCCCGAAGTGGACTTCCTGGAATCAGTATCACCTACCATATCTGCATCTGTATACTCTTCTAACATAGGTTCATCATTACCAAAACATAAACATAACTTGGAAGTACCTTTTAGATATCTTAATATCCATTTCACTACTGCCCAATGTTCCTTTCCAAGATTAGAGAGAAATCGACTGACAACTCCAACTGCATAAGCTATATCTGGCATAGTATAAACCATAGCATACATCAAACTACCTACTGTAGATGAGTAAGGCACTCTGGACATTTCTTCTTTTTCTTTCTCACTTGTAGGACATTGTTTCGAACTAAGTTTGAAATGACCTACAAGTGGAGAACAAACTGCTTTGGCTTTACTCATGTTGAATCTTTCAAGAACCTTTTCAATGTAAGTCTCCTGAGATAGCCAAATCTTCCTTTTCTTCCTATCACGAAGAATCTTCATGCCAAGTATTTGTTTCACCGATCTCAAGTCTTTCATGGCAAAAGACTTACTTAGCTCTCTTTTAAGATTTCCAATTTTTCCAACATCATGGCCAACAATCAGCATATCATCAACATATAGCAGTAAAATAATAAAATCATCATTTGAAAATTTCTTCATAAACACACAATGATCAGATGTGGTTCTATCATACCCTTGGCTTATCATAAAGGAATCAAATTTCTTGTACCATTGTCTAGGTGCCTGTTTGAGTCCATATAAGCTTTTCCTAAGCTTACACACCAGATTTTCTTTTCCCTTGACTTTAAAACCTTCTGGTTGCTCCATGTAAATTTTTCTTCTAAGTCACCATGAAGAAATGCTATTTTTACATCAAGTTGCTCAACTTCTAAATTCAAGCGGGCAGCCAAACCAAGAACAACTCAGACAGAAGACATTTTCATAACTGGAGAAAATATTTTTTCAAAGTCAATACCTTTCTTCTGACTGGATCTTTTCACAACTAGTTGTGCCTTATATCTCTATTGTGAGTTATTGTTTTTAGTCTTCAATTTGTAAACCCACTTATTCTTGAGAGCTTTCTTCTCTTTAGGCAATTTTATCAAGTCATAGGTGTGGTTCTCAAGCAAGGATCTCATCTCTTCTTGCATGGCTTTAACCCACTCATTCTTATTCTCATGTAGAATAGCTTCTTAGTAAGTTTCTGGCTCTCCCCCGTTAGTAAGCAGAACATACTCATGTGGAGGATATCTGGTAGATGGTTTTCGCTCTCTAGTGGATCTTCTCAATGGAATCTCAACTGGTGGTAGAGGTGCTTGTTCAGTTGGTTCAGCATCATCAACTATAGGTATATCATCATTGATATTCTCACCATAATCTTCTTGTTCATCTCCCCCATGATCATCATGAACTACAAGTGAAGAAATTGGACCCAAACTCCAAGGAATATAAACAAAGGTTTCTGGTTTCTCAATATTATCACCATCATCAAACAATTGGTCTTCAAGAAACACAACATCTCTACTTCTAATAATCTTCTTGTTCATTGGATCCCATAATCTATACTCAAACTCTTCATGACCATATCCCAAGAAGATACATGCTTTTGCTTTACTATCAAGCTTGGACCTCTCATCTTTGGGAATATGAACAAATGCTTTACACCCAAAGACTCTTAAGTGATTATAAGATATATATTTTCCTCTCCATACTCTCTCTGGAATATCACCTTTCAGAGGAACTGATGGAGAAAGATTTATCAAATCAACTATAGTTCTCATAGC